AGGTTAATATAAAGTTTTTGAAGTATAGTAATATATTATTTGATATTAATAATTAATTTATATTTTTGTTGATTATATTTATAAAACTTTCTTTTTTCTATAAATAAAAACTTATTAAGATTAAGGAAAACCTAACGTACAAAAGTTTTTAGAAAAACCCTTTTTTACAAAATCTAAGAGAATAAAAAATATTAGTTAATTATATATGACAATATTGTTACTTCTGTGATAAAAGATGCCATAGACATCTAATTTTTTAAGCCAATTACTTTCAACAATCTCACTTTGTTTAACTAAATTTAATATATCAAGACCAAGTTTTTTAATCTAGTTATGTTTATGTCGAAATTATACCACTCCCTCAAAACAAATCAAAGGAAAGCCAAAAAAAAAACAAAACACCGAGCCATAACTTTAAACTTAATTTCAAAGTCAATACTTTCTGATCTGTAAATAAATTCCTTGAATTGTGTCCAACCCAATTATGATAATAGCATTATGTGCCACATAAATAATCTTTTACATGACTACAAAGTGTACCGAATGTAATTTCGTTTATGTATACTGATTTCTGGAGAATGTCGGTGAAGAAAAAGCCGGTATAAGACATAGTGGAATTTCCATAAAAATGGGTAGGAAAATCAAAGGGTTTCATCCGCCAATCCCTATTGTTCTACACAGTTGAATTCGAGATTTATGGCTCGGCCATTGATTCATATAGTTTTCATGTACATTTCTAGCAAGCACCAGCGTGATCATCACGTGATGATGCCTTGTGAAACAATTAATAGGAGAAAGAAAAATGGAATAACACTAACCAAAACTGGACAAAGACTTCAAACAAATCAATCACATATTCTATGTGCATTAATTGATATTTCGATATATTATATGTTATATATCGATCTGACCTCTGGGTTCTTTGTATATGATCAAAAAAATCAAACGGTGGTGGGCTGATCAAGAAGACGCGTATTGAGTTGAATACGTTGAAGGTGTAAACTTGTAAGTGCAGCCCCACCCGATCTCCTCTTCCAAAGAGTCTCTCCGTGTCCATTATTGCTAACACTATCTCTCTTGATCACAGGCAACGGAGGATCCAAATCTACAATGTTGACGACGGGGACACAGTTGTCATTATTAGCTTTCTTTGATCCAGTTTCCCCATTGACAATAACATTCTTGCTACCTAATTCTCTTCTTCTGATACAGCGGTGGTAGTTGC